TAGTTGGGGGTTGGGGGTTGGGGTGGGGGGTGGGGGAGGTGAGGTGAGACACAGGGAGCAGACCGCCAAGGATCTTGTGGGTCGTGCTGAGTACAGCTTTGCCAGATTTTAAACAAGGAAGCAAAATCCCTGGTTTCCTGAGAGGAGACCACGAAAAACTACGGCAGCCAAATAGTAGCCCTACGGTTTATACAATTCAGACTTCACTAAGTGCCTTAGCACTGTGACTTCGTTTAATTTTATCAACCCTGTGAAGCGGGCAAGGGAGGTAATACAGGTTGAGTATCCCTTATTGAAAATGATCGGGACCAGAAGTGTTTCGGATTTTGGATTTTTTCGCATTTGGGAATATTTGCATGTTACCCTTGTGGGCCTGCTTGTGTGGGAGCATCTGGACAGGAGTGGAAAAGATACAAGGGTTCTTCAAAAACTTTGTGGAAAAACAGAATTAAAATACAAATCTTTCCATGAACTTTTTGAAGGCCCTTGTATATTGTGGCTGAAGGGGGCTTGGAGGGTATTCTTTCCCCTGGAGATGATAAATATACTGTGTTGGGTGCTTATGTGTTGACTGTGGCCTGTCACACGCGGCACTGGAGATGATAAATATACTGTGTTGGGTGCTTATGTGTTGACTGTGGCCTGTCACACGCGGGCAGGTGTGAACTACTCCACCTGTGGCACCACTTCAGCACTCAACAAGTTTTGGAGTTTGGAGCATTTGCATTTGGGATTTTCGAATTAGGGACGCTTAACCTATACCTGACTATCAGCTTCACAGATATGGAGAAACAGAGGTTCAGAAAAATTACTGACTCAAATTTGAAACCAAATCTAGAACTCTGCCCTCTGAATCCCTGTCTGGCCGTCCCTGGGGATGACATCCTTTAAAAGCAACGAGAAGGTACTGCAGTTCCACAAGCAATTGGCTGTGGAACCCTGGCAAAGTCCCCTCTCCCCTCTGGACCCCCCCACTCTGTTGTTACAGAGATGGGCTGGGAATGGGGCTACAAACCAAGCCGATCTTCTCTGGGGAAACCACGGGTACGGAGGGAGGGGCGTACTGCTGCCAAGCGTGGCCCTGCAGCCCAGGGCCCCTCACCTTGACCGACATGTTGTGGATATCTAGGCAGAAGGAGATGCGCTGGTGGAAGGCCAGCTGGGGCTCTCGGGTGGAATAGATGTCGATCATCTCCTTGGACTGGACATAACCCTTCTCGTGGTTGATGCTGGCCTCAATGACGCCATCGCGGATGGCCTGCAAGCCCCCAAAGGGAGGAAAGGCATACAAAACCCAGCTTCGATGTCCGAGAGTGCCCTGTCCCCTTCATCCCTTTGTCCTCCTTACACTGCCACATGCACATGCACACTCCATGTCTCTGGCAACTCCAGGCTTCCTGGCGAACAACTGGCCCTTCCTTAAAAGACTACGCCACTGCTTCATCTATTCCCCTGTGGCCAATCTCCTCTCATGCCCACCCCTGAAATAGGCAGGAAGGTGACAGTCTGGGCCACTGTGGTTCCTGAGCCAGCCCCACCTTGGCAACAATGAATTCTGCATCTTCTGGGCTATCCAGCTGCAGCTTCTGAGCGATGTCAGCCAGGGAGATTCGGGAATAGGAGAGGCTGATCATGCGTACACCTGGGAGAGGAAGGAGCAGTGGAGTGGGCAGGGTGGGCACAGACCCTTCACCCACCCGTGTACACCCACAAGGTTGGCTCCGTCCCTTGGAGAAGCCTAGTCTGCGTCCTGCTCCTCCAGTAGCCCCTCTGACCCTGATCCACACCTGTCTTGATCACGTTGTGTCGCAGTCGGATAATTAGGGTGTAGGTTCCATCTGCCTGAAACTTCTCCCCAAACTGATCGAGGACCTGGTTGAACTTGGCTAGGTTTCCTGTCCTGACAGCTGCAGGGTGGACAGGAGTGGATTAGATGACGCAAACGGGCTCACGCACCAGAGGCCACACTGGAAGAGGACTGGTAGGCTCTGGGGAACCCGTCTCACCTTGGGTCAGAAGGAAGTAGGGCGTGAGCGAGCGCTTGAGGGAGGGCTGTCGGAACTGCAGCCGGTCTGGGATCTCCCCCAGCAACAGCTCCACCACAATAAGAAGCTTGTGCACCTGGACAGAGGGTGACACAGGACACGCTGAGCAGGGAGCCCCACTGGTGGAAGAAGAAAATGAAGTGGGGCTTCACTTCAGTCACACATACTGGGAAACAGGGAAAGGTAGCACTGTGGTTAGGTCCACAGAGAGGGGAAAAGCCCGAGAGCCTGTGCCAGGCACAGAATTGAAGCTCTGCTTTGGAGTCAGGCACTGGGAACACCTGACCCTTTGGCCGCACCAAGCCCTCAGCTTAATTTCTTCTGACCAACCACTGCTCTGAAATGGCCATGCTCTAAAGAGGCCAGACGGGCAGGTTCTGTAGCTCAGAAATGGCAGGGAGCAGGGCCCAGAGGTCTAGGGAATGGAATGTGAGTCGGCCAAAGATGCTGATCAGGGAAGGGGGTCGATCCTGGAGGAGAGAGGTGAGCACCGCATAAAACTAGTCACCCGGGCGGAGGCAGCAGCACAGGAAGGGCCTGGCAGAACCTCAGTGAATGAGCAGAGTGCATGGACGTGAAGGCTGGCTGGAAAGCCAGGCCTTCCTCCTCCATAAAACCATCAAGTATTTCTGAATAGTGCCCACCGATTCAGCACCGTGCAAGGAAACTGCAGGAGAGGGGACAATGTCCTACCAAACAGGAGGAACAGGAACAGAGATAGTTAAATCACAGCAAGTGTTACAGGAGAGGTGAAGGGTTAAAATGGGTGGCGTATGATCATGCCCACGTCTGGGCAAAGACTCTTCACCCTCCACATATACCACGAGGTTGCTCTGTCCCTTGGAGTAATCCATGTATGATGGGAAATCCAAGGAAATGGCAGAATTTAATAAGTGCCTTAAGGATCCTCACAAAGCAGAAAAAGAAAGGAGATGTTCCAGTCAAGGGAACAGATTAAAAAAGCAGGAAAGTGGGGACACACTGGAGGGCACACAAGGGGCTCTCCAGGGAGATATGGTTGGGACCACAGTCTGGGAACGTGCCACTCCCAGTGCCAGGCTCAACAGCTGAGTGTGCAGACAGAATGCAAGGAAACGCTGAGCAATTGAGTCCTTAGTTTCCTCATCCCTAGAATGGGCACAGTAATAACAACAATAAACCTGGCCTGTCGTCCTCACAAGACTGCTGATCCTGCTGGACAGGCAACAAGGAGTAAGGGAAGCTTTCCGGGCAAGGGAGAGCCAGGCCTGGGACCCTTCTTAGTTAGGTATTAGCAATTCAGCTGGGTTGGGGGAGGTGAAGATCAGGACCAGTCAGAAGGTCCAGAAATATTAGTGGCTTGAACAAGGGCGATATCAAAGAGTGGGCAAATACAAAAGACATGGAGACAAATGAACAGACAACTTATTGATGGGGAAGGAGGAGTGTGGGGTTGTTAGAGATGACCCCAAGGCTCCCATCCGGCTCTGGAAAGCAGGGGAAGGAATGTTAAGGGGCTAAGAGGGGTTTGTCTGGGACAAGCTGAATTCGAGGAGTCAGGGGGTATCTGTATAGAGGTGGGGGATCTGGACCTGTAGGTCTGGTGTTCACGAGAGGGGTCAGAGCTAGGGTTATGGTTGAACTGTGTCCCCCTACCCTCCCAAATTCCTATGTTGAAGCCCGACCCCCAGTACCTCAGAATATGACTGTACTTGGAGATAAGGCCTTTACAGAGGTAACCAAGGTAAAATGAGGACATATGGGGGGGCCCTAAGCCAGTACGACTGGGGTCTTCATAGGAGGAAGCAGGACACAGACACACAGAGGGAAGACCATGCGAAGGTGCTGGAAGAAGACAGCCATCTGCAAGCAGAGAGGCCCTCAGAAGAAATCGACTGTGCCACCACCTGGAACCCGGACTGCTCTCCAGAACTGTCACGAAATAAACTTCTGTTGTTAAAGCCACCAAGTCTGTGGTGCCTTGTTATGGCAGCCCAAGCAAAGTAACACAAGCAGTGATTGCTGTGCTGAAGCATCACGGAGGTGAGGGCTGAAGCTATAAAAGCAAACAACATTGCCCAAGGAGAGAGTGTGGATTTTACTACGGACAGATAAACTTTAAAGTGTTCTGCTGAGGTGGGAGAAAGACCAGAGAAAGAGAACACTGGAGTGAGGTGTTTGGCCAGTGGACTGCTGGTGAGGGAGCTTGGAGAAAGATGGAATGGCTGCTTGGGAGGGGAAGAAGCAGGGATGGGGGAACTTTCTGCCTGGAGACCCTTTAGCAAATAGCTGGTGGGCCAAGCCAGGCCTTGGAAGAGATAGGAAGGAATGAGACACAGAACACGGGTAGAGAAGCTAGCTTGAAGTGAAAACGCGGAGAATGGAGAGAGAGAGACACTCAGGTGTAAGGTGGAGAGAAGGCAGCTGCAGTCATGAGTGCTGGGCGGCCGTCGTCTCCTCTGAAGCGGAAGGCCCCCGGCCTCCCTACGCACAGTGTGGTCCCTGCACCAGCAGCACCGCATCACCGGGCGCCTGAGAGAAACGCAGACTCACAGACTCAGCCTCCGTAGCTTAACACGACACTCAGGTGACACGCATGCTCACTCAGTAAGCGGGCAGCACGGGGTGGGGGGCAGAGGGCGGGCGCCTGAGAGAAACGCAGACTCACAGACTCAGCCTCCGTAGCTTAACATGACACTCAGGTGACACGCATGCTCACTCAGTAAGCGGGCAGCACGGGGTGGGGGGCAGAGGGAGGAAGGCCTGGAGAGGCTGGTCACGGGCCCTCTCCCAAACACGCATTTGTTCCCACTTTCCACCTTCCCAGGGCTCCCTCGCCAACTGTGCACTGGCCACAGACCTCACTCCAGCCTCTCCTCCCACCAGCTGGCTCCACGACAGAAAACTCTGACACCTTATACAGCCACAACAAAATCTCGTTTGAAAGCACCGCTTTACCCCACAAAGCTTCTTCCCTGATATGACACATTCTATGTTAACTATCTACAATTTTAGTGATTTTTAAAAGAAACTTTAGTGTGTTCTATATTGTAAGCAATCTAACATGTTGCTCATATTCCCCATGTGTCTAAAACGCCCTTCCTTTCTGTGAAAATTCTACTCTTCTTTCAAAAACCAGCTTAAATTTTAGCTTTTTCTTTAAGATTTCTTTAACTATCTGACCAAAAACAAACCTGCCTTTCTCTGACCTTGTGAACAGAAACAAAGTGAATCTCGCAGTACACTGACCTAATCACTGCATGTTTTCATCCTGTTCCCTATCCAGGGCACGCAGAGGTGGATGTCATATAAAGGCAGGAGCAGAGGTTTGCAGCTGGGAACACGGGGTCCGAATTCTGACTACGGGGCTCTGTGACTTACACAGGCCCTCAAGCCTTTCTGAGTCTTTATCAACATTCTTTATCTATCTCTTCGAAATACTGTCTCTAAGAAATACCATTTCTTATCCTTCTTTCATAACCCTCAAGGTGCCTAATACCAAGGCCAATGATCCAAAAAAGCCTTGGTGACTGGCAGCTCTTAGGTGGTCTAGGTTTATCTCTACTTGAGCCACTCAGCCTTATGGAGATTTTTGGGGTTTCTTGGCTACAGACAACACTGTTCCCAAATGGGTATGTGAGGGACCAGGTGAGGGTCTGGAGTACATCTACACAAGCCAGGCCCATGCCTGGAATGACTGTCAGGAGTGCTGGGGAATCAGGAATATCCTAAACCCATCGCCCAAGGAGAATCTTCTGAATAAACTGTCAAAGGTGCAGTGTCTGCTTAATATGCTCTGAAAAATGACACCTACCACCCATCACGGGAAGCAACCTTTTGGATAATGAAGATTAAGCACGCCTCCCCTGGACCCTTCCACACGGGAAACTGAACTGCAGAACTGCAGTGCTATGGGGTGAGCAAGAGGCAAGTGGACGATGGTGATCTGGGCTCACCGTCTGTTTGAAGCCGACCGCTGTGTGCTGAGGGGCCTTGCGAAGGGCATTGGTCATGGTTCTCCGGGCCTCTGAGTACTCCAGCTGGATGGCTTTGATTCGCCCTGGGCGTGGAGGAAAAGGAGAGTGGATCCAGAGAGTGGCGCCATCCACCCCCTGGCAGACCAGAGTGCCGGATGGGCCTCCGACGCATCACCCCTTAGAAAACTTGCACCAAGTGAGCCAGAGACACCTCCTGCTCTGTGGCTGGGCCCTTCTGCTCACCTGTGTAGTAGAGGTACCTTGCCCACTCGTTGTTGTTGGCCTGCTCAGGGAACACGGACTTGGACACCAGCTTCTCTGCCTGGTCATACAGGCTGTAGTGTAGGTAGTTCCGCAGCAGGAGGTTCAGCAGGGTGGCCTGACCGTCTGCGTCGTGCCGAAGGGTGGCTGTCCGGAGCCGAGCATGCAAGAAGCTTCAAGAAAGGTAACAACTCTGTGAACTGCCTTTGACGTGTGATACAAAGTGCTTTTCTTGTTACTCACTGAATATCCACCTACGACTGACTGTCTACGGTGTGAAGCACTATTCTAGGTGCACAAAAATGACAAAACCCGCTCTCAGGGAACTTACTTGCTAGTGGGGGAGACAGACGATGATCACGGTAAGATTTTCCGTAGCCTGACCAATGTGGTGAGGGCTAGGAAGAATCACGGTTAAGTGCAGCGGGGACGCAGGGGACGAGGAGGATGGGGTTATGATTTTAAATAGTTTGCTTATTGCAGGACTCACTGAGAAGGTAACAAATAAACAAAAGCCTGAAGGAGGTAGGCAGAAGAGTGTTCTCAGCAGAAGGGAGAGCCAGTACAAAGGCTCTGAGGGAGAGTGTGCCCAGCACGTCCAAGGAAGAGCAGGAGGCCCGCAGGGCTGAGAGGAGCAAGTCAGAGCAGGTCGTAAGGGGCAGACATGTCTGTCGGGCCTTATAACCTATGGCTGAGGACTTTGGCTTTTCCTTGAGGGAAATGGGGAGCCACTGCAGGTTTTGAGCAGAGGAGTAAAATGTTTTCCAGCCTGCCCCTCCATCCCTAACCCCACTCAATCCTCCCTTGATGTGGGGTGAAGGGAAGAGCCTGGGGACAGTTCTGAACCAGCACAGTGGTTATCATTTTTTCATCTAGAATCGGTCTGTCCCAGACCCCTCACTTGGCTCAGGGCACGGTAAGCACTGCCCCATTTCTTGCTGGGCACTTTACATCTATCAGCTCATCGCCCTCTGCAAGTCCTCAACCCTGTGGTAGTGACTGGGCAAGTCTCTGACCCCAAGGGCCCCAAGTGAGACCCTTGGCCGCCTGTACCTGCGCACCACATCCAGCTTGTCCAAGAACTCATAGACCCGGGCGTGATAATAATAACACTTTGCAGCCACAAGATCTAGGGCCCGGCGGTTCTGAGTACTGATCTTCTGCATCAGGTCATCAGAGATTTTCTGTGCCTAGGGAGGAAGCCAAAAGAGAATCAAGTGGCAGTTCCTCAAAAGGTTAAACATTAAGTTATCATATGAGCCAGCAATTCCCCTCCTAGGTTATACACCAACCTATATGAGAGAATGGGTACCATAAGTTCACACAAAAACTTATAACAAATGTTCGTAACACATTATTCATAATAACCAGAAAGCGGAAACCACCCAAGTGTTCATCAGCTGATGAACAGGAAAACAAAATTTGGCATATCCATACAACGGAATATTACTCAGCCACAAAAAGGAATAAAGCACTGATACCTGCTATAACATGGATGGATCTTAAAAACATTATGCTAAGTGAAAGAAGCCAACACAAAAGGCTTTGGGATATTGTATAATCCCATTTATATGAAATGTCCAGAACAGGCAAAGCCTCTATAGAGACAGAGGCAGATTAGTAGTTGCCAGGGGCTTGGGTTGAAGGGAGAATGGGGAGTGACCACTAATAGGTGCGGCACTTCTTTGAGTGGTGGAAATGTTCTGGAATTAGTGGCGACAGTTAAACAACTTTGTGAAGACAGCAAACCCTTGAATGACGCAGGTTTGAACTGTGCAGGTTCACTTATACACTGATATTTTAAAAATAAATATACTGGAAAATTTTTGGTTAAGTATGTCATGAATGTCCCAAAAGAATCCACTACCCAGACAGTTATCGTACCCCAGACAGGTACAGAACGACCACTGCCAGCCCTTTCCCTGGGTGCCCAGAGCAGGAGCTGAGGGGGCCTCCCTGGATGTGGGGTCAAGTGCATCGTCTGGGGGATGTTCTTGAGAACCCAGTGATTATCTCCACTTCCTCACTCTGGACAATCTCCCCCATCGACCCCAAGCAGTCCTTCATCGCTCTCCCTGCGTCCTGGATACCTCTCTGTAGCGCTTGCTGTTCATCAGGAAGATGACCGTGAGGAGCTGGAGGTAGGCTTCCACCTCAGGCAGGAGCGGCGCCGACGCAGCTTTTCCTGTCCGGGGACGGAACTGTAAATCGGCTTCTGTGTCCATGGGCTAGGGGAGGACAGGAATTACCATGGAAAAGCTCCGTCAGGTCAACCAACCAAGAATTAACTGAGCACCCACTGCGTATCTCAACGTATATTTATTGTCCACTATGTGCCATGATCTTGCTAGGTGCTGGGGATACAAAAATAAAGATGACATAGTCTCTTTCCCAAGGAAGTCAAGGAGGCTGGCAATACAATGACATACAATAAAGTACTGCAGGAGTGTGACTGACTACTTTACAGAATATAATGGGGACAAATGATAATGGAAGAAACTCTCAAAGAGCCTACGATCTAAGCAGAGAGATTAAACCGCCGCACCTGCAACCACTGCAAATCCTATCAGACAGGGTTCAATGAAGTGACATAATTCTAGAAATGAAATCAGGAATGATAAGAGCAAAAAACTGTTTTTTGCGGGAACAAAGGAAATTTGAGGGAAACTGACATACACACAGTACTTATTTTCAGATCTAGTCACTGAAACTGGAAGAAATAATGCATAATAGTCTCAAAAATAATCATGTTTGGTGAATTCAGGGATGTGAAGGTTAGAAAACATTCCAGGTAGGATTGGGGGAGGTCACGTTTTTCCCCTTTCTCAGACAACTCTTCACTGTTCTACCTCCAGAGATTTTCTGAGTTTTCACATCTATGGAACAGGGACTACATAGGACTTCAGGGAGTTGCAGGCAGCTGGAAAGTCAATGAGGTTTGGAATGGCTGAGACCTGGACTGTGCTGTCAATGATGAGGGGGATTTTACAGCTACAAAGGAGAAGGAGAGGTCTCTCCTGGCATGGAAACTGGCATTAAACTGATTTCATCAGCATTCATTAGGTGATAGGCCCTGCTGTAAGAGTTTGGTATACACTCTTCCTTTCCCCCAATCTAGTCATCACATTTATTTATTTTTATTTATTATTATTATTATTATTATTTTGTTTTTTTGTCTTTTTCTGTGTCCGGCAACGGATCGCAACCCTCAGTGTCGCCCCCGTACCGGACCAGGACCGGCAACGGGACCGCAACCCTCGGTGTTGCCCCTGCGCCTCGCTCAGTCAGTGAGCGGGAACCAGTCTGTATGTGGGATCCGAACCCTCGGCGGGAGCGCCGCCGCGCTTCCCAAGCGGCGCACTATCGCAGTGCGCCACCGGGCTGGCCCGATTTATTATTTTTTTTAAAGATGACCAGTAAGGGGATCTTAACTCTTGACTTGGTGTTGTCAGCACCACGCTCAGCCAGTGAGCGAACCGGCCATCCCCATGTGGGATCCGAACCCGGGGCCCTGGTGTTATCAGCACCGCACTCTCCCAAGTGAGCCATGGGCCGGCCCTAGTCATCACATTTAACAAATGACAAAAATGAGCCACCAGGAGGTTAAGTGACTTGCCCGAGTCCCACAGGCACGAACTGGTAGAATTTGGATTCAAATTCAACTCTACCTCCAAAGCCTGTGTTCTTACCCACTGTTCTACACTTTCTTTATGGTGAAGCTTTGGAGGCAAAGAGGTAGCGGCATCTTCTCCTAGGACAACAGAGATGTCAACCAGCTGGAGGAGAGGGTATGTCTAATTCCCTGACTTGGAAGAATGACAGGCAGGGCAGAAGGATAGTTCCCGTGTTACTGGGCAAATGGGTATTAACATGGGCTGCTCTGGCTTCACTCCTCATGCTATAGCAGCTGATAAGACAGGCAGGTCTTCAGGATGGGAGGCAATTACATCCTGAAGGTCTGAGGCCAAGCCTGCACCCTTTAAGATGGCCTAGCCCACTCACCTCTTCCAGGAAGGATAGCAAGAAGTCTCGAGTGGCATTATTTGAGGTGAAGAAGCCATGCACAGCCTTATACAAAACATAGTGGTTGAGGCGCCGTGACGTGGAAGGTAGCATTCGCAGGGCCCTCAGCACGAATCTCGGCTCCTTGCCCGAAACGGCCTTCTCCAGCTGTTTCACGTGCTCTTTGATGTCTGTAGAGAACCAGAGGAGAAAAAAATGTTACTTCCAACTCCTCCTACTCCCCCACTACTCCAGGCAAGCAGTTCTAGGGAGCCTCTTACGAAGGGGTAAGAATGTGGCCAATCACCTTTTTTGCCCTTTGATTTTAAGACAAATGAAGAGACAAGGAAAAATATAGCTGGGAGAGGGGATGGGGTAGATGGTAACAGGAAGAAAAGGAAAAACAAGAAACACATGGAGATTTATCATATCTCAAAATAGGAAAAGACTTTCTGGGCTGGCCCGGTGGTGCTCTCGGTAGAGGGTGGTGCTCCCGTCGAGGATTCGTATCCCACATAGAGACCGGTCCGCTCACTGGTTGAGTGCGGTGCGGGAGCGACACCGATGGTTGCGATCCCATTGCCGGTCACGAAAAAAGACAAAAAGGAAAAAAAAAAAAAAGGAAAAGACTTTCTAAATGTAAACAATGGGACAAGTCACACACACACAAGGCTGATGAACATGACTTCATAGGAAAACTTTCTGAATAACTGTGTAAAGAAAAGAAAAATACTTGCAGCATATGTGACCAAAAATTCTCAATTAATTAATTAATTATATTTGGCAGCTGGCAGGTAGGAGGATCTGAACCCATGACCTTGGTATTATCTACACAGTGCTCTAACCAGCTAAGCAAACTGGCCAGCCTCGAAGATTCATTGTTGAATTTGAGATTCCCAACTTCCCTGATTTCTTTTAGGGAGGAGAGAACTTATCTGACAAAGTGAGCTAAGCCTTTCCACTTAATAGCATGTTTAACTGGAAGTGTACAGCCTGCTTTGTATGTCAAGAAGATACATGAGCATGCTGTGGATACATGTAAATTGTAGTCCAAGTAAGACACTTTGCCAAGTTTCCTCCATACTGAATTCACCTTTTTCTCAAAATTTTAAAATTCAGACTTCAGCATTTGCACTCAGGAGGGTTTTATTCCAACACGAGCTCTTGTGCTCTACCTAGATCTAATTTATATAGTGAGTCAAGAGGTAGAATAAATGCTCCCACATAGCCTTTCTTTTCCTTTTTTCTCCCCTGTAGGTGTCAGTTGAGTTCTCATTTAGGTTTGTGACATGGCTATTTACTAGTTGTAAAGTTCTGCATTTGTTCTTAAGCACCATCGTTGTAAGGTGGTGTTTCCTAAACTTACCCTGATACAGTTTTACCATTATTGAATCTGAGATTGTCAACGTCTCTGATTTCTTTTAGGTAGGAGAGAACTTATCTGACAAAGTGAGCTAAGCCCTTCCACTTAAAAAAAAAAAAAAAAATTCGTTGTTTTATTCTACAAAGAGCTTGTATAAATGGTTAAGAGAAACTATATTGCTACAATTCCAAAATAAAAATGGACACAAACCGACCTACACAAAAGAGAAAAGATAAAGAGCCAGCAAACAAAAAATATATTTCACTAGTATTTGAATAATTGTAAATGAAAACATTTTTAAACTACCAAATAGCAACAATTAAAAAATTATAACATAGAGTACAGTGAAAAGGATATTTCTGCTGGTATAATGTAAATCAGTACAGTTTTTCTGAACAATATCTATCAAAAATCTTAAAAATGTGCACCCTTTTTGACCTTTGACTGGGATCTATACTGAATTGTATATGCAGATTAAAAAACTTGGGCACAAAGATGATTGTTGCAAAGCTATTTATAAGAGCAAAAAATTAGAAACAGTTTAAATGTCCAGCAATAAGGGAATGCAATCAATTGGTTCTCAGTCACCTTTGTATATCCAGCACTTAGCACAGGGTGCCTGGGCCACATTAATGATATAATAATAACCAGATATTTGTGGAAGGTTTACTGTGTGTCTGCCACGTGCTAGGCACAGTTCTAAGCATTTTAATGTTCACAACAACCCAATAAAGTAGATACTATTACTATCATTTATACAGATGAGGAAACTAATTCCAGGGCTTGTACTTTTTTTTTTTTTTGGCGTCTGGTGGGTCAAGGGAGCCTTAACCACGCTATAAGGTATTCAATAAATGTTTCTGGAATTAAATCTTGATTATGCTTGGTAAAGGGACATGAAAATCCACTACATTGATTGTATATTGATAAATTTTAAAAAATTAAAAAATAAAAGCAAAAACAAAACAAAATAAAATAATAAATAAATCTTGATTATGTTTATGGATATGTGAAATGAAAACACAAAATATAAAATTATCTGTATTGAGTTACACCTTGATTCAAATGGCATATATAACTTGCTCTCAGTTATAGGAGAGCAACTCAAAACTTCATAGGGAAAAATGTTAACCATGGTTGGTCTTTCCCCCCCTACTTTAGACTTATACTTTCCAAAATTTCTACAATGAACATGAATTACAACAAGAAAATGGAGTGTTTGTAATAAACATACCTGGTAGGTAATGCTGAGTGGCACCTCTGCCACTGGCTATTTTATTTTAGGTAAAAGAATCTCTATTAGATTTACAGTAGGAGCTCAATTTACAGTAGGAGCTGATGCAGTCAACAACATCATATCCTCAAAAGCATTATCCAGGAGCAAAACTCTGCTTATTTCAATGTTTTTGAGCTAGTTTCTCATGTTAAATAAAAAGAAAACCCAGTAAGTTGTTTGGTCCCGCTGGATCCAGAACCAGGAAAATAGCACCAGGATCACAGTGGGAAGCTCTGACTACCCACTCTAAACGTGAACAAGAAGCTCTCAGTGGGAAAACGTAAACTTGGAGGAACAAGAGGACTATAGGGCACTGGGAACAGAAACCTAGAAGAAAAGAAACGAGGGTAATGATATACAGGAATTTAGCCCCAAAGTGAGTATTATGAACTCAGATAAGGACGACCCCTGAGCAGCTGACAGTGTGCATGTGTTTAAACCCTTTAGAAACAGAATGCGAGTAAGAACCTGAAGGGTGAGAAGAGCGACGGGACCGCCTGGGCACTTCAACTAGAGAAGGAAGGAAGTAAGATACTAGTTAGAAATGGTTCTTTTAGGGGGGTCTGCAAAGGCGGCTAGGACAACAGAAACCTTCTGCACCTTCTTAAAACTCAGGGATCAATGTCCTGTGTCGTCCCGGCCCAATTTACACACATAAATACGAACACTGGTTTCTAGGAGGATCAATCATATATTGGGGGAGCTAGAATCAGCTGGGTGGGATGTAAATGGAGAGGGGAGGACTTAGAAGAGAGAGTCCCCAGACCCAGTGAGACCTAGACCTAGATGCAACCCCAGGTGGGGGGCTGGGGGATGTGAGGGGGGTAGTCCCCAGCATGAAGAGAAGGTTCAGTCATTGAGGCTGGGATCGGGAGTGTCAGGACAGTGGGGGCAGGCACTTGAGGGTGACCCCCAAGGAACCAGGGGTAGTGGAGGCTGAGGATGGGGTCTCAGGGAGAAGCCGGATCACCAGAGTCACTGTCACCCGTGATCTCTCGTACCCTCCAAGGTGACGGTGTCCACTTCTCGCTGGGAGTGCTCAGCCGCCGCTGCCGTCGCCTTGCCGTCTGCCTCCCCCGTTGACCCGCCACCCGCTGTCGCCTCTTCTTTCATCTCCACATCCTGGGGAGCCGGGGGCGGTGGTGGTTCTTGTTCGTCTCCGCCAGGCGGTGGCTTCGCCTTGTCCGCGCCGCGGCGCCGCGCCGAGCCCTCCTGCTTCATGGCGCCCGGGGTCGCGGCCTAGTCCGGGGACGGAGGCCGGGACCTCGCGTGAACCCTCGTGCCACGGACCAGGAACCGAGACGGGCCTGCACGCGAGAGCGGCTCGCGTCGGGCCGCACGATGACGGAGCAGCTGCAAACCCCTTCCCGGCGCTGGGCCTTCTGGGAAATGCCAGGCGCGGCGGGTCGATGGCCGAGTTACAGGAGAAAGATATCAACAGCCGACGCGCAGGATGGAGGAGGATCTTCGAGGAAAGAGAGGGGAGGAGCCTGTGGAGGTTTGTGGCGTTCTCTGCGGAGGACGTCAGCGGGCTGATCAGGTCCCTCTCGAGTGCATTTCTGTGGGTGTCCACGAGAGGTCTCCTCGGGACTCTGAGCATCCCCACCGGCGTGGAGCGGGTAGGACCTATCCGAGCGCAGGGCAAGATGACGTCGCGAGTTGCCGGGCGGGCTTTGCACCCTAGCGCTCTTAATTGGTCCCCGGCCGGGGTCGCCTTAATGTGTCCCCCGGCGGTCCGCCTGGCGGGTGCTCAGCGGCTGCCCGGTGCGTCCGGCGCGAGAGGAGAAAAGAAGGCTGCGAGGGTGGGGCGTGGAGCTAGACTGTTGGGTCTAAACTAAACGGAACTGGAGAGTAGAAAGAATCCTGGGGGATCTGGACGTCCTGTCGGAGTTTAGTTTAGTGCTGAAGACAAGACGTAAAATCTCTGCGGCCTGCGGGCGCGGACGGGGGAGGGTGCACTGGTGCGACATCACTCCCGTTTAATAAGAGGGTGGGGGTCCGCCCTGTGTGCGGCCCAGGGCTAGCACGTGGTGCGTGTGAGAGACTCGGCTCATACATAGTCCACGGGGAGTGAGACGGTGCAGGTGACGGGACACTCGGCTCTGGCCGCGGTGTATTGAGAGAGCAGAGGAAAGAGGGTGGAGGCGCCTGTTGCCAGAGGCCTCAGGGGGCTGGGTGAGCGGGCCTTCAGGCATCCAGACAGGTCCTGCTGTGAAACGGTGAACAGCAACGGTGTACCTAAGGGGAAGGACCGTGGACAAGGACTCCCGCAGTGATTCTGCAGGACAGGTGAAGCCAGGAACAAAATACAGGTCCCAATTGCTTAAGATGCAAAACAAAAACTTCCTCCCTATCTTGGAAAGTTTGTCTCATCCATAGAAGGAAGTTCTGAGTTTTAGACCGTGGGCGGATCCTATAAAATAACCTAGCCCTGTGTAAAGACCTAGAGGACAGAGAATATGTTCTGACCATATCCTCCTTCATATCTGTGTATAAAAGGATCTCCTACATATCGCTTGTGACCTCCTTTTTGTACTGTTGCAGCAAGTGGTTCCTTGCATTAAACAGCCACTTGCTAAATGGAGAAATGTGTGCTCCACCTTTGGGGAACATGCCTTGACCAATTCCTCCCTAACTGTCCTCTCACCCCCAGGGCTGGGGGATGGATAAACAGGACTATCAACTCATCACTGGAATAAACTCACTACAGCCTCTTCTTCATAACATCACATCTGGAACGAAAGGTGGGCGAGAGCGATAAAGGAGACGAGCTTTGTTCTTCACTCTTACAATCAAAGAAGTCACCCTTCTGCATAGTTAAAATGTTAGCTCATGTCTCTATTAAGTTTACATCACAAGGGAAAAACCATCGAGTCAGCAGATAATAACCTAGTATGTCCATGAGCAATACAGGGAGGCCTTGGAAGAAGCCCAGGAGGGGGGAGGATGGCTTGACACAAAGCTTTCGGCACTTGGCCATGAATTCTCGGTGAGTGAGGGAGCTAGCCTGGGCAGGGGGTGGCTGAGAAGGGGGGAGAGTCTGACTCCTGGGACCAAAGCCTTGGAGAAATTATTCCACCCATAAAACTACCTTAAAAGAGATTGGTGAAAGGTGTTCAAACCCAGCCAGCTTCAGGCAGAGGAGAAGGAGAAAAATCCATCAGGTCGGTGAGACTGCATATTAGCAGGTCCCTATGCCAAGCTACCCACACAACTTCCTCCCACAACCACCCTGAACTGAGGGCAGAAGATAGAAAAGTGAAAGAAGATAATATAACTGATTTTTTAAAAATTTGGGTCAGTCTTATACTTGGGTCCCATTTTTTTTTTTTTTAAAGACCCATGTTCATTTTCTATTCAACAAAGTTAAAAGTTGTCTAATTTTGTTTGGGGCTTGCACCACATATCTCTAGATCTTTCCCTGCCCTAATTCCTCAACCTGGGCCTAGAGGACCCCAAATGCTCTTCTTTGAAGACAAGCTGCTTGATGACCTTCTTAATTTAGAATCCGGACTCTACATTCTACACTCCCCATCGTTCTCTGAGCATTTTCCAGCTGGCCTGAGGACAGTCTAAGTAGCATTCATGTCCATATGATCTATATGTAGTACGATAATGTCTGTTTTTTTCTGACACACATTAAGAAAACACCAAAAGACATCTCATCCTAAGATTGACATGATATTTTCCATTAATTCCAGTAAAGCTTGTTTTTTGGAAGTACAATTGAGAGGGATTAGGATAAGAAATTAGTCTTTTTTTTTTTTTGGTTTTGCTGAAATGGCTTATAATTTTAAAAGTAGAGTACTTCTACTTGTAATGTATTTAAGCATCAGCAGACAGGCTTAGCGGGTTGCAGAGCGAGGGGCAGGGAGAGATACATGGTTGGACAGGTGGGAATTGGTTATTGTGGGTGACTGCATTTCAGATAGGATTTCAGTTATCCTTAGCCTGGTGGCTGTGAAATGCCCTTGGGTGTACAATGAGATTGGGAAGTCATTAGGGAAGCAGGAAGCAGATGGAAAAGGCAGGTTAGGAGGCCTTGGTCAGTAGCTGGAGGAGGGAGAGGCCAGCGTAGAGGGCACAGAGGCGGGGGAGGGTGTCTGGGTCCCACATGTATTGGGGTCCTGATCTTTGCACTTCCAGGCCACTCAGCCCCACTAGGGCCTCCGTGAAGGTCAGTTCCTCTTCTCCAAGGGAGGAGAGCAGCTCGGGTCGCAGGGGGAAAACACCCTCTTTATCCTGGAGGAAATTCTGTTCCATTGTGCTCTCCACCTGGAAGGAACCAAGACAACATGAAAAGAAGAAACTGGAAACCTCTCTTCCTCTCTCCTAACTCATAAAAATCACAAAGAAAGCTACATTCTCTTATTATAACTCCTTACCTTACCTTACATTACATTACAATTCCATGTGGGCCTTTTAATGGCTCTATACAGTAGGCAGGATGTTTATTTTTGGCCCCAAAATAAATTGAGACAGACTCAGAGACATTAAAAGATTTGCTTACATCACTTGTCTGGGAATAAGTAAAGCCAGAGTTTTCTGTCTCTTCTCCCAAGATCAGGCTGATAAACCCAGATCTCATTACCCAGAAACTTACTCTCCTTCCTCTTGTGAAATAACAAAAAAGGAGAAACATGGAGAGAAATAAGTGCGATGAGAATGGGGCATCTAGGACGGTTCTATCATTAGGCTAAATCTCCATCTTTCTATTGGTTCTAGCTCCTCCCTCCCAAACTTTCCCCATCATCTGCCCCATCATCTCACCAGCTTTAGCTGCACCGGTAGGATCTTTTTCTCCATGGATTTTATCAGCAGCTTCTGCTGGGCTTCACTTAGCTCTGGAGCAGAGAAAGAGATGTGTGTTGCTGGTGTGAAGGAGACTACAGACTCCAAACAGGTGCACTTCCAGAATTTCAGCCAGCCTGCCTTGCCTCCCTGCCCCCTCCCTCCTCCCGTTCTTTCCTTCCTTCCTTCCTTCCCTCCTGGTTGAATGCCTGTTCTATGCCAGGCACATTTGCTGGGTGTTAGGTAAAAATTGTACTCCTCTCACTCAAGGAACTTGAGTCTTGCAGAGAAGACAAAGTTACATGTAATTACTATACGTGAGGGCTGGCCTGTGGCTCATTTGGGAGAGCGTGGTGCTGACAACACCAAGTCAAGGGTTAAGATCCCCTTACCGGTCATCTTAAAAAACAAAACAAAACAAAAAAAACCCCACAATACGCGGTGTTAAGGGAGCCATAGTTGGGGGGTCTACTTTGGTCTTGGTATTTGAGGGCAGGCTTCTTAAGGCAACAAACATCTCAGCTTACACATGAAGGATCAGCGAGTTACTTTTTGGTGCAGGAATGTTTCATGCAGAGGGAAGAAGAAAATTTAGGGGCAAGATCAGAAGATGTTACTCTGAAATTAAAGCTGACAGGTATCACTATAGAAGTGATGAGCTTAGCTGTATGTAGAAATTTTAAATATGCAGCAGATAAAACTAGGGTTATTTCCAACCTCCACTATCAAGACTAGGCTATCTTCTCAGACTATCCAAAGTGGCAAAGTGAATGCTTAGGAATGAAACCGGTTTTTGAAAAAGTTGATATAAACTACTTAACTGTGGGATAATTTACCTGGCATTTATTCATTCATTTATTTGAGAATTCATTCAAGTGATTCATTCCTATCAATGAAAAGGCCTATACATGAGGACTGGAATGCTTAGGAATGAAACCGGTTTTTGAAAAAGTTGATATAAACTACTTAACTGTGGGATAATTTACCTGGCATTTATTCATTCGTTTATTTGAGAATTCATTCAAGTGATTCATTCCTATCAATGAAAAGGCCTATACATGAGGACTTATTTCCCACTTACCTGTTAGGGCTCCGAGGAAATACAGGATGGCACCCATAGCCTCCTTTGATAGTAGGACATCTTTTGGGAGTGCCTCCAGGGTCACTTCATGTCCCTTGTCTAGAGCTCCTTCAAGCTGTCAGGAAAGATGGGTGACTATTTAAGATAATGTGGAAAAAAGGCCAACATGGTGCCTGGCACGTAATAATCCATAACTCATTTTAACTCTCTTCCCTTTTTGCATTTCTTTTTTGAGGTATCAATTCCTGAAAACTGTTGGACTCCTGGGTTCCTTGGTCCCTGAGTTCTAGACTCTGGAAAAGAAAGGTTCCAGCCCCCTTCCAACAGAAGGCCCTTCTGACCTGCTTCCTACCCTCTGCCCATCAGAGGGAGCATGTGCCTTGGGGGAATCTGTGTTTGTCCTTTTCCAGGGGACAAAGGGAGCAGTTGCCCGCAGACTGGGGGCACTTGGCCAGCCTTGGGAAAGGTATCCACCGTCGATTCCCCTGGCCACTGGCCACTCTTAGCCACTGTCAGCTCCCCCACCAGCTGTAATACCTCCCCTCCACCGCCCACCAAAACCCTACTTCCCCCACATATGCCATCCTTCCAGCAGGGCCTCACCGCGAGCTCAAGGTCTTGTAGCTCCTGTTTCTTGCCTAGAAGTTTGCTGAGGGAGCTGAGCAGGGAACTTTGCCCTACTTGGCTCAGCTTTGCCACTTCTTGAGTCTCTCTTTGAACCTCTTCTTTTAGTGTCTGGAAGTCCTCATGTACTTCCCCTGTGCGGACAGTAAGTGCAGCAAACAGCCCTCCCTGTTCCCTCAGGATTCTCCCTGCAGGGCCCCTTCCTTCAGTCCTCCTCGGGTCCCCATGCCCTGCTCCCAGCTTGAGCCTGGCCTCTTTTCACCGAGGACAGCGGTTAGGAAGTTATTCACCAGCCTTGACCGGGAAGGGGAGGTGGGCCAGGAGCCATATTATCATCTCACTCAACAGTTAATTTTCTGTGAGATCCTGGGCCTCATCCCATATCAGTACACAATTGACTTCCTGTTCTCCAGCTAAAAGTTGAGAAAGTCTGTTTCCCATTCTCATGAGTTAGTTGACAAAGAAAAATGACTTAGGTCACTGAGCAAAGGCCAAGTGAGGTTACTACAGAGAGCCGTGGGTCCGTATCCAGGGATGTGGGTGGATCAGGGGTAGCTCGAGCCATAACCTGGACCTCTGGGGGTCCTCTGGCATCCTTGGAATATGTCCAGCTGCTTTGGAGAGTGGCTCCCTGGAAGCGGCTCCAATTCCCAGGACCTGGGACTCCGCTCTTGCCTTTCCTCCCTCTACCCTAATGTTTCTCCTGACACCTTCATACCAAAGTCTTAGGAGAAACTCACAAAGTTCCTTACCAACATCAGATGCCTGGAAAACTGAGAAAATAAGAAAAAAGAAAAAACTTGTAAGAACGTGATCCTTCAGAACGGCAGCCATACGCAGGGGACGAGACACTGATGAGGACTAGGAAACATGTCCTTTTCCTGGGAGATCCCAGCTATCTTTAGGATACTCTTGCTGCATTCCTGAGAGGCAGGAATGGGTCAGAAGAAAAGCTAAAGCAGCGTGAACAGGGACACTCGGATTGAGTTGGCATCGCTGTGATCAGCAGCTCTGGTTGCGGGGCAGCAGAGTTGCAGGGGCATGTGTAAGTTACAGCCACAAGGCCCTTGAGGACAAAAGTCTGAGGCATCAGACTACCTGGGCATCTTGTCCAGAGACTTCCCCCTTCCACTGCTTTTCCCCAAGCAGTTGGAATTTCTGCCACGTTTCAGGGACAGCTGTTTGCTGAGACCTGCTCTGCTATGTTCCCTGTCAGTCCCATGGAGAAGAGAAGAAAAGGATAAATACTTACGGATGAACTTCTCCTCTCCTGGCTTTTCTGAAGACAGAAACAATGCACATCTGTCAGCATAAAACCTATTTTTGCCTTTTATCTAAAGCAGTTGTCAAGGCAGCTTTATCAGTGATCATTATAAAAACACGTGGAGATTATGTTAGCTCATCCACCCCCACAATTTGGGAACACACAGTGTCTCCAAGTCTTATTTCTGCTTCCTGTTGTGCCTTCTGGTCTCCATCTTTCTGTTTCTCCATCTCTCTTGGGCGGTATTTATATGCCTCTGTCTTCCCTGAAGTTGAGGATACAGATTCTTGGGGACTTGGGAAGCAAAAGCAGGGGCTCCTTGGGGGATTGTGGTCTGTGCTATTAGAGGGAGGAGGATTTTAGCAGATAATGTCAGGCGTAGGGCAGAACAGGTGGGGAGCCAGTAAACAATGTCACTTACCTCCAGGAGGGAAGGTTTGCATGTTGTCATTGTAGATATGTGGAATGTCTGTAAGGGGCAGGAGATGGAGAGCGGGAGGACACTTAGTATCTGTCCCACCTTTCCTTCTCCAGTCTCAAGCCCCAAGGGTATGCTAAGGGCTAGGACCTTGTCCCTCAAATGCCTCATGCAATTCTCTGTTCAACCTGCATTGCTGAAGGTCATCTTTTCTTTTTCTGCAAATTCTCTCCTGTGTCAATGCTGTTTTCTACCCTGCATTCTAGCACTGGTGTCTGTTTCCTCATTTCCGTAGACTTCTCGAGACTAGAAGCTGTGCTTGTTCACTTTCATGCCCCCTTCCCCAACGACCACAGAGCCTAGCATCCAGGAGATGCACAGAACTCAGGGGCCCCTTTACCCCTCTCTCCAGAGTGGCCCCTGTGGCTCTGTCCCTGGCAGATGGGCCACAGTACAATACACTCCTTCAGTCATTCCCGACATCACCATGAGAGGGGGACCAGGACACTTCAGTCTTGGTGCCAGTGATTCTCGTCTTGGGGGAGAACATGTGGTCTGTGCTCACCCCACTCGTCTTTGCCTTTGACCATCAGCTGTCTGACTCGAAAGGCCAGGACGCAGCCCTTGGGGATGGTTACAGCCTCCTTGTGGTTTACGGATCCCTAGGATTAGACAATGAGGATTTGTGGATCTGCACAGAGCCTGAGTGTGAGACATTGGGAGTGGGGGTGGGGCAGGTGGGGGGCCCGGCCTGAGAGCCTTTGGGGAGACACGAGGTTGGGAACCCTTCAGTGGTATCTGTGGTCATCTGTCCACCAGGTCTGGTCTCTGTCATCTCATTCTGCTGATATCTCTAACCATCTGTATCTCTCTTCCTGATCCAGACACATGAAAGGAACTGGGCAGACCTGCTCCATCATCTGGCTATGCATCACCCTGTCCCATCTTAGAGAGGCCCTGGTTCCTTTTTCCTCCTTGCCATCTGTCCCATGCTCACCTCATTCAGGAAGACTTTCTGATCCAGACACATGAAAGGAACTGGGCAGACCTGCTCCATCATCTGGCTATGCATCACCCTGTCCCATCTTAGAGATGCCACCCAGGCCCTGGTTCCTTTTTCCTCCTTGCCATCTGTCCCATGCTCACCTCATTCAGGAAGACTTCTGTGACTAATCCCTATTCCCAGCTCCAAATTCCAAATCATCCCTTGAATATTTATGCTCAATAGATATAGGTATGTAGAGCATTACTTTTTTCCATCAAATTTTCCAAGCCTCTATTCTCTGGGCTTTAACCTATGTGTCTCCTCTATGAGCCTGAGAACTCTCTGAGGGCAAGAACGCCTCCTCTTCAGATTGAGGGCGCCATGAGGGAAAAGCCATGAGTGTGAGTTTCTCCTTCCCCAATAATTCCCTGTGGCATCTGGCAGAGGGATCTGCCTACACTGGGTGCCACTGACCAGAGAGGGGGATTGTGTCTGGCCAGCTGGGGTCTGGATCTTGCAGAGCGGGGAGGAGGAGTGGGTCCTTTTCAGTACCCTGGGTGGACATTGACCAGGCAAAGTTAGTGAAGCCCCCGAGAAGGGGCTGAATGTACGTGTGTGTGAGTGCGTGTGAGTGTGTGTGGCAGTGTGTGTGAACCAAACCTGTAGCCCCAGTGGAGCGAAGAAGGGCAGGGAGAAGCAGCCATCAGCCTTGCCAGCTCTCTCCAGAGTGACCTCCTGCACGGTCTCCACCACCTCCATCACCACGTACAAGTTCTCTCCTCGATCTCGCATTTCCTTCAGGAAAGGGTGATCTGCTGCCAGCTTCCTGTGGTGGGAGAAACGTAAGGGAACTGTTCAGAGCTTCTCCGTGCCTGGGCCGTGCCCTCCTCTGCTTCTCTCCTAGGAGAGAGACATTGTGGTGTCGGGGAAGGGGCGAGGGCTCTGGTTGAAACCCACACCTCCTGCTTTCCAGCAGGGCAGCTTCTCTGAGTCTTAGCTGTGTCATCTGTAAAATGAAGATAAGGACACCTACCTCCAGGGCTGCTGAGAGATGACCTGGGTATCACAGCACCTGGCCTGGAACAGGGCCTCATGCCCGCCTCCTTGCCCCCTTTTCCTTCAGCCCAGGTGTAGATTCTCCTTCCTTCCCTCCCTGTTCGTCTCTTCTGGGACCTTTCTCTCCACCTGCTATCCTCTCTCTTGCATTAACACCAGGTCCTCCTCTCCACTTGCTGCTTCCTTTGGCTTCTGTCTATAAACATGTCCCTGATCCTAAGAAATGCACTCTCTTTGATCTCCTCCTCCCTCAAATTAGCACCCTATTTATTTTCTTCACTTCACTGGCAAATATATCAAGAGACACGCCCCTACCCACTGGCTACTGCCTCCCTGCCCACTCCTACGTTCATTATAATTTGGCTTCTCTTTTCACTACTCAATGAAATCACAATGACCTCCTACCGTCAAACGCAGCGACCTTCCCTAACTCTGCACGACACTGGACCCTGCCGTCCAAGCCCTCCATGAGAGTCTGTTTTCTCTCGGCTTCCGATCACATGCACCACCCTGGTTCTACTTCTGTCTTCCAAATCTTATCCATTCTCTCCGCATCCAATTTTCCTATTTATTTGGTTTCCTAAAATTTTGTATTCTCTAAGATTCTGTTCTGACTCCTCCGATCTCTAAACTCCCTCCAACAGCCTCCCCCATTCCTACAGTTTTAATCTTTGTCTTGTTACCCACCACAGACACATCTTCACCTTGACCCCTCTCCTGAGCTCTAGGCCCTTATTTCCAATTACCTCTTGAATGTTCTCAGCTGATGTCTCAGCAGAGCCACACACTCAAAACCTCCAAAAGGAACTCACAATCTTTCTCTCCAAATCCACCCACCTCTAACCTCTGTCTTCCTGTTTGTCACCTGTAATGTCCTGTAATGTCACAACATGGGTCAAATCTGGGTCATCTTCCAAAAAGCCTTCCCCTTCACCCCACAGTCAGCTGCCTTCGCTGCAGGCCTGTGCGCGTGCCTTCCTCTCCATCCTGACTGCCCTTTCCCAGTTCAGGTCCTCATTTTAATCTCCGATGGGATAGTGGGACAGTGTCCTTCCCCGGTCTGCCTGCTTCAAACCCCTGTCCCTCTTCCTCTGTCTGACGTACTTCCTCCATCTGGCCAGATTAGTCACAAGACCCTCCAAGCATTGCCAGGGTCTCCCTGGTGCCCCCAGAATAGTTCAATCCCCTGGACCTGGCGCCCGGCTCCTCCAGGATCTGGGTCCAGCCTCCATCTCCCACCTGTCCCACTCACCTCTCCTGCTCCTGCCAAGCCAGCTCCTCAGGGTACCTATCGGTTTTGAGATTTCCCACCTGTGTGCCTTGGTGATGCTCTTCTCCCAGCCCTGCATGTCCAATTTCTACTCTTCTTTCAAGGCCTCGATCATGAGCTGCCACCTCTGTGAGGTCTTTCCCTATCTCCCCAGCCAGACGTCTTTCTGACCCACCACAAGACTCAGCTGAACTATTCTTACGGCACTTGCCACTTCTTGCCTTGGGTTATAGTTACTGTTGCACATTTTTTTTCACACTCCTAGATCACAAAGTTCCCGGGTAAAGATGCTCTAGGTACATCCCAGCACCCACAGGACACTTTACATGCAATGAGAGCGATTTAAATATTTACTGGATGACTTCCCAAGCACCCTAGCCCCTCCTTCCTGCCACCTTCTTACATTTTTTTTCACACTCCTAGATCACAAAGTTCCCGGGTAAAGATGCTCTAGGTACATCCCAGCACCCACAGGACACTTTACATGCAATGAGAACGATTTAAATATTTACTGGATGACTTCCCAAGCACCCTAGCCCCTCCTTCCTGCCACCTTCTTTCAACCACTACTTAACTACTTAAAAGTCAGTTCCCCTGTCAAGCCAAACATCCATGGTGCCCAGCATCAACATCACCTCTGCCACACCCCTGGTGCTGCTGGGGCAGCATTCCCGAGGGCGTGCCTGGTGTGTGTATTGGGGCCAGGAGGGAGGCTTCATTTATGGAGCATGACCCCGTGCTCAAGCCTCAGTAGGGAGCTAAGACCAGCCCCTCCCCTTTCTAGTGTATTTCATAGTCTTAGAGTTGGAAGGAACCTTAGAGATTATCATCCAACCCCCTCACTTTGCAGGAAAGAAAAGTGAGGTCCTGAGAAGAGTGACTTTTCCAAGGTCACGTAGCAAGTTAATGTGAACACATGCATCCCTATGTGTGTGATCATGAGGAGGTGGTACTGGAGGTGGCAGGACAGGGAGGAGTAGTTAGGAAATGGCTGGTCATCTTCGAGAGCTCCCCTGTGGTGACCACATGGGCGAAGGTCCGTGTGAGGGCCCCACTTTTCAAGTCAGGGCCCAAAGCACCCATTCCATGCACCACCCCATCCTGGCAGCCCCTCAGCCTTGCCCACTCTCACCTCTCCTCGTGCAAGGTCTCCAGGGCCTTGGGAGCCACGCTGAGCGTCTGGACCTCCAGGGTGCTGTTCTGGGAGAGCCCTGCAGTCCCCTTCACCTTCACTGTCTTCGGCACATCCACCTCTCCCTCCACTCGGGCGTCCAGCATATTCTTAAAGCCAAAGTTCCCAGTGTCTGTTGGATCTGCGGGAGGGAGAAGTTGAAAGGGGCTGGCTGAGAAGCATCCCTCTCCCCCCACCTCCTCAGCTCCTTGTGAGAGCTTTGGGCTAGGTGACTCCTAACCAGGCCGGGTGCCCATCCCTTTGTACCCCTCAGTAGCCAGCCACAGGCCTGAGGCTGACCTGAAGGTGAACTTCCAGGCTCAAGCACGTCCAGGAGGGTGTAGTCAGTGCGCACATAGCGGGCCCCCCAGAACAGCGTGCTCTTCCTCTTCCTCAGCACCAGGCAGAAGGGATGGAAACGCTTGAAGTCAATGAGGCTGTCGAGGGGTGTCAGGTCCCCTCGAGGGTTTAGCTGTCTGGCCAGGGCCCGGGTGACGCTTTCGAACATGGTCATTGTCTCTGTGGGACAGGGAGATGGGAGAGTGTCAAGGTGGCTGTGGAGGAGACCAGGGCATGGTAAGGCCCCTGCAGAGAGGGTCCCCTGGCTCTGGGGCAGGGGAAGCTCTTAAAGGTGCCTGGATTCTCGAATATCAGAGCTGGAAAGAGCCAAAGGAGTCTTGAGAACAGCTGCCCAGAGCCACGCGGCTGGCTAGAGGAGCCAGCCCTCCCCCTCTGTGTCTGGAGCGCTTCTCACTCCATTCTCTTTGCCATTGTCTTCAGGGACAAGGAGCCCAGCTGGAGCATTACGTTAGCAATGGAAGTAAAGGTCCTCTTTCCCCAGAGAACAGCAATAGCCAGGACCTGGGGATGTCAAAGAAGTGAAGCAGCTCCCACTGGGGCCGAGGGCTGGGGAGACAGAGCTGTTCACCTGCCCAGGTGCCCTTTCTTTGGGTGGGGGCACACCTCCCTGTACCCTGCACTGCCCTTGTGCCCGGCTCCCTCTAGGCACTGCCCCATAGATCCAGGCATTTCCATGCTCTTTTCCTTTGCTTACAGCACCCCCTTCACAATCTTAAGAATCCCTATTCAGGTCATCACTTCAAGATCCCTTCCCTCACTCCTTCAGGCAGCTGGTGACCTCACCTGTGTTCCCAAAGCACTTTGTACGGCCCCTTCTGAAACATCTGCAACTTCATTGTTATAGTCTGTTCACCTGACTCTCTTGCCTCCTCAACTGACTTCCCAGAGTGCAGGGAATGGATCCTAGTCGCCTCTGCAACAGCATCGGCACCAAACACAGTGCCTTGTGCAGAGTTGGGGCTTGGCAAATGTGTGTGGACAGAATGAATGAATGAATGCGGCCCCGGGAGACATATGCTGGGTGAGAAGGCCCTGGAGAACGTGGGGCCTGCGAGAGCCTGAGGTTCATCACCTTAAGTCACTGTCTTTGAAGTTCAAGTGCAGGTGTTCTGGCTGGGTGGCCAGCTGGCACACCCAGATTATCCCCGTTGGTGGAAGAGGACACACCAGCTGGTCTGGAAGCGCCTCGCCTCCCCTGTGGGTACTTCACAGCAGCAGGGAAGCAGGAGGCACAGGCACAGATGTGTGAGGCCATTCTGCCAGCTCCAACGTGCTTTTCTCATCCCTCATTCCTGGGAGGGCCAGGATGGGAAAGCTGGGTGCACCTCGGAAGGGCTCAGGTGACTGCAGTCTTCTCCTCACCAGAGAGGTGCTCACAGGGCCACCTCTCCCGTCCCTCTTCAAGGTCTGTCAGGATACCCACCCCACCCACCTCTAGGGGAGTCCTGCACCCTTCTGGTCCAACCATCTCCCAATATCCCCAGAACACCCCCTGCCTCCTTTGCTGCCATCAAGTTCTTACCAGGGAGCAGTGCTGGGTCCTGTTGGCAGCTGGGTCTGGGGTGAGAGCCTGGGGTTCGCTTGGTCTGTAGGTTGAGACAGTGACTGTCCCTTGCCAGGAGAGGCTGCTTTATGTCTCTGAGGAGACAGGGATGTAGGCTTCCAGGGAACCTGCCTGCCCCAGTGACCCCACCCCCCTCCTGCTCCATTTCCGGGAGAACAGCATCAACCTGTTCCAGGTGTGCCCTGCCCCAGGCCCTGGGACCTGGCCTCCTGAGGGCTGGGGGGGTGGGTGGGAAGCTGCCAGGCAGGTGCCAGCGTGGGTGGGGGGAGCCAAGGCTGAGAGAGGGGTGCAGAGAGAGGGAGTGGGAGTGGGGGGGGTGTATGTGGGGGGGGTTCATGCGCACATGTGCACGTGTGTGTGTGTGCATGTGCGCACGTGTGTATGCAGGAGTGATAAAGGAAGGCACCTCTGTTCTGTCGTCATCGTGGTGATCAGGAAGCATCTCAGATTCACGATGAGGCCTTGCGGGTATGATAGGATAAGAAATCCTGTGTGTCCACAGGGTCCAGCAGAAGGCAGAGCAGCTGAAAAGCCACCTTCCATCTTTCTGCGTGTCAGCCTGCGTATCACTACCTCACTCCATTTGTTTTAGCTACATATACATATCTCCAGTACCATTAGTAGCATATGTCTGAATAGGCAGAGATGGAGCTAGGACAAGCGGTTTTCTGTTTGGTGTTCAGCGTCTCTGCTCCTTGTGGCAGGTTGTGTGTATATACACACACAGATACGTAGGCAGAGGCATAGCAACATTAGCAAAAAAGCCCCAGATGCATGTGGTGGGGACTCAGATGTCTCCCATAGGTCACTCAGGTCCTGCTTTTAAGTCTTCGCCTAGAAGAAATTTTAAGGGGGACTTGACACACAGGGTCAGGTCTCTGGATGGCACATTAAGGGATTTACAAGCAAGACTCTTTTTTTTTTTTTCCTTTTTGTCTTTTTTCGTGTCTGGCAATGGACCGCCACCCTCAGTGTTGCGCCCGTACCAGACCGGGACCGGCAACGGGATCACAACCCTTCGGTGCCGTGCCCGCACCTCGCTCAGCCAGTGAGCGGGAACCGGTCTGTATGTGGGATCCGAACCCTCGGCGGGAGCGCCGCCGTGCTCCCAAGCGGCACACTACAGCAGTGCGCCACCAGCCGGCCCTACAAGCAAGACTCTCACAGTGTTAGGATGTGTGGCTGTGTATGTGTGCACGTACCTCCTGAGTACACTCGAGCATTTCTGCCCTCACCTTGAGGCTCTTGTCAGCACACTCATCGAGAAAGAAGTGCAAACTTGGATACCATGAAGAGTTGTTTGATCTTTATTGGAGGTTTTCTTGAGGGGCTGGTGGGGAGTAGGGAGATTAGACCGTACCACACTAAGTAAAACTTCCTAAAACTTCATTACTTGACTTCGGTCTCATTCAGTGTGACAGATGCTCTCCAGTGTCTCTTCTATATGTCTTAAAACAAAACAAAAACAAGACTTTGCACCTGCCTCTCTGCTCCCTGCCCCCTACCTTTTTCTTACCTCCCTTCCCATCCACCCCATGCCCTTCTTGGGTAGCTTCCAATGCTTTGTCTAGTGCTTCTTCCTCCTTCCACAGCTCTAACCATTACTGTAATCGAATGTCCGTCCTCCTTAGGAGAGGCAGAGGTGGTAGCTTGGGTGTGTGAGAAGGTTGTCATTAGTCATCTGGTCCCTGTCACAAGTGCACATGTATGCAGGAATGTGTTATATTCTTTCCATCTCTAATTTTTGTTTTCCTGGTTCTTTCTGGATTTCCATCTCTTCCCCTCTGTATCTCTTAGTCACTACCCTGATGTGACACCTGCAATCCAGCATATAGTTCCGGGGCTGTGCAGTCTCCCATCCCAGGGAAGGCGGCTCCACTCCCACGAGCCCATCATTGCCTCAGTTGGAATTTTGGGAGTTTCTTCCTAGTGCTCACCCTCCTCCCACTGGCTGCAGAGGTTTCTGGTCTAGCTCATCCTCCAAGGCCTGGAGACCAGCGGTTTCACAAAACCACACATGTATCTGCTCGCCCCCAGGACCCACAAAGTCCAAATGGCCAGTGCTCTCTCTTCTTTTTTTTTTTTTTAAATAAAAAATAAAAAAAAGATGACCGGTAAGGGGATCTTAACCCTTGACTTGGTGTTGTCAGCACNCCACCACACTCACCCAGTGAGCAAACCGGCCATCCCTATATGGGATCCGAACCCATAGCCTTGGTGTTATCAGCACCGCACTCTCCCGAGTGCGCCACAGGCCGGCCCCCAGTGCTCTCTCTTCTGACCCAGAAGTCTTTCCTTTCATTTCTCTTGCCTTCCTTCATTCGCTCTGATCTCAGCCACTCCACCAGGCCTGTCCTCATTCTCCTTGTGCCACCCCACCCCACCTCCACCCTGTTGCACCATTCTCCCAAACTGTCTAATGGTGTCCCAAGTGGGGGACTTCAAGGGTTTAAGGCAAAGATATAGAGCTTGTAGGGTCAGCCAGGTTGAAGGTCTTGTGCTTTTGGATTGAAAATGTCCACGTGCAGGCTTGCTCCTGTGCTGCTCCTCCCTCCCATCCAGGATGTCCTTTTCATCCCCCAGTTCCCAGCCCCAGTGATTTTAGGGACAGGCCACAGAATCCTTTTAGGGTTCAGAGGTTCCACCTCAGAGTCCTGGCTTATGTGCAGGGGAATCTGGGACAGAATTTAAATTACGATGGACGTGCCGGCCTGTGGCTCACTCGGGAGAGTGCGGTGCTGATAACATCAAGGCCACGGGTTCGGATCCCATATAGTCAAGGCCACGGGTTCGGAACCAAGGCCACGGGTTCGGATCCCATATAGGGATGGCCGGTTTGCTCACTGGCTGAGCATGGTGGTGACAACACCAAGTCAAGGGTTAAGATCCCCTTACCGGTCATCTTTAAAAAAAAAAAAACTACGATGGAATATGTTTAAGTTAGATTGATATGCATATACTTTTCAGGTCAATTAAAATTGATACTGAACCAGGAGGCTGTGGGGTGCGTGATGCTGAGGCAGGGGGCAGGTTGCTCTCCATCTCCCTCTGGTGGCCAATCAAGGTAGGTGACGGGCGATAAACACCCTGATGTGGGGACCAAGCTTGGGATTTGTGTGGGTTGCTAAGAGATGGAGATCCGGAAAGGGAATTGACTTAGGGGTGGAAGCCCCAGCTGCTTGCTCTCCGGGAACATTACTGTCTCTCTGACCCACAGACTGCACTGCAGACAGACACAGACATTATTTCCTTACCCATTTTCCTTTTTATTATTGTTGATTTTCCCCTCAGGAAACGGTCAAAGAGGAGAGAGAGAAGGGTAGACTACGGGAGTTCAGAAAGGTGGAAGGCACAGACGCTGGCAAGAATGGGAAGTAGCGGGCACTCTGGGAATTCGGAGGGCAAGGAGAAGGTTCAGGAATACACCTACAGGATATGGTGCTCACTTGGAGGGTGTGGGGTGGCTGGAACATTTGGGGGGAGGTTATCCCTCACACAGACATATTCCCAGACCTTCTCTGAGTAAAAGGTGGTGGAGTAAAAGGTGGTGGAATGGTTGGAGATGAAGAATGGGGGCATGAATGGGGGCATGACTGTCTAGGAAGGGCAGGAAGAATACTCCCCAGGGTGTTGAATTTTGTATCTCACATGGGAGGTTGGAAGTTTTGGGGTGCAGATCACAGATTGTGAGCTATATATCCATAAATTCTCCATTCCGAGCAGAGAAAAACTCCCACATTCTTTTCTTATCCTCTAAAAAACTTTGAGGTTTCTTCCCAAATTCCCAAATCAGCTTTGGAGCCCTAGATATCCCCAGACTCCTGGCTGAGCAGGCACTGACGTTCAGCCTGAAGTGTGTCAGACTTGCGGGGGTCAGCCACTGCCAGCCTCCAGCCCAAACCCAGAGAAGCCTCCTCTGTCAGCTGGTCCTCCCAACACCCTAACCCTTCCTGAGTCCCCGCTGATGTGGCAGGAGCTGGTGGGAGAGGACAGATCCTCCACAGCTGCGATTGCTTGGCCCTCCTGATGAGACAGAGCTCCAAGATCCTCGCTAAAGAGACAGAGTCCCAGGGCCAGCCCAGTGGCGCACTGCTACAGTGCGCCGCTTGGGAGTGTGGTGGCGCTCCCGCCGAGGGTTCGGATCCCACATACAGACCAGCTGCTCACTGGCTGAGCGAGGTGCGGGCACAACACTGAGGGTTGCGATCCCGTTGCCGGTCCCGGTCTGGTACGGGCGCGACACTGAGGGTTGCGATCCGTTGCCGGTCACGAAAAAAGACAAAAAGGAAAAAAAAAAAAAAAAAAAAAAAAGAGAGACAGAGTCCCAGATGGAGCCTTTGAAGCTAAGGGAAGCTTGTATCTGAAATTCCTCTCTATTTTCACCAGCTCCCCCAGACCTGTCCCCAAGCCCCACTCTGCTTTCCTGCTCTGGCCAGGGCTGGGGATCCTTGGTAGACAAAATGTCTGGAAAGCCAGGTGTTGTTGGCTAGCACCCAAAAGGTGTGGAGGACAGCATAGAGGTCACAGACTAATGACAAAGCATTTGGCTCCTGGGTGCAAAGGGGTCTGTCCCCTTGTATGTCAAGGCCACAGAGTTCCATCAGGGCCTGTCATGTTCAGCTCCTTGGCCCGGAAGCCCTTGAGCAGCTTAAAGTGGAGATGGAAGGGCCCCACCTCCCCTTGGAAGAAATTCTGGTCCAGGATAGTCTCCATCTGCAGTAGAGAAAAAACATCACAGGATGCTTTGCACTTTGGGAGCCATCAACTTCATTGGTGGTCTGCAGTAAAATTTTAAATTTCAGCTCCTCTCCCCATCCATGGGCCCTTCCCCACTCCCTGCCTGTTAGTGCTAGAATTGATCAGACATGGGCAAGGATTAAGAATCTGTAGACCTCAGTTCTGTAGAGACTTTTTTTTTTTTTTGTCTTTTTCGTGACCAGTAAGGGGATCACAACCCTTGGTGAGCCAGTGAGCGCACCGGCCATTTGTATATAGGATCCGAACCCGTGGCGGGAGTGTCTCTGCG